CGAGTCCTATATATCGATGTTCGCGGATGACGCGAAATTAATGAGATGAGTTACGACAGATGAGGATTGTTGGATACACCCTGAGGACCTGAACAAGCTGCAGAGATGGTCAGAGAATTGGCTACTGGAGTTCAACACGAGCAAGTGTAAAGTTATGGAAATGGGACTAAGTGACAGGATGTAACACTGTAAAAGTGTTTGGTTTAGTTTATTTAAAATATATATAGAATATGAGTCAGAGACAAGAATTTGAGAAGGCGCCAGTTTGTCCACCGGAGTTTCACACCTCTAAGAGTTAATGACCTCAAGTGACCTGAGGTCAGATCATGCGAATTTCACCTTACTTCTACTAATCTTATAATTGGAGCCTGGTAGCCTTCAAACATGCCGACGTTTAAGGAGTGGCTTGGTAGAGAGCCGGAGGCTATCTACTTGTGGGCGGAGTTAGCTACTAGGTTCCCCAATATATACTCGGAGAGCTATCGATTCGAGAGCATTAACAAGCAGGACGACAACAGCCGAGACAGGCTGTCGGTCGGACGGGGGTGACGCTGCCTGACACCTGCAGACTCCCCCCCCCCCCCCCCCCTCTCTATCCAGCTATAGGCAGGCACTTGGTGAGTTGAGCATTAAGGTGACTTAGTCGTGTTTACAAGTGTTGTGTGATGATCAGGGGCAGTCAGTTGTAGTGTTCTCAGATTCTTGGAGGATGACTCACTTTACATATATAGATCGTGAACATTGCTTAAATTATGATACTTAGTATGTGAAATATAATTGAATTTATTATTTAAATTGCCTTTGTGTCCCCTAGAGTTTGAGTTGAAATGAGAAAGCCTCTGCGGTTTCATGATTTAATGAGTACATGATAAAGATGGGACATACTAATAATGACCTCTTGATAACATCGTTTGAGAATTTTGTGATACAGACAAGTTCCATTCCTTGTTTTGTATGTAATGATCATGAATGGATGGTGGCAGCATTTCGCCTTCTACTATCTACTTCTACTCTCTACTATCTACTCTTCTACTTCTACCTATCTACACCTCTCCCTCCACCCCTCTCTAAACTCTCACTTTCAACTAATGACCCTCCTCGCTCCTCCCACCTCCCTACCTCTCACCCCAAACCCTCACTAATTACTTATTCACTATTCATTTCTTTCCTTTCGTTTTCTCTTATACGTTTGTGGCAGTGACATGTATTCTAGAGTTCTCTCTAGAGTTTCGGGTAGCTGATCCAGTTACGGCGCCTTGTAGTCTTAGCACCTAGGTAGTCAAATACCTAGGTTACAAGGTGTTGAACGAGAGAGGTTGCCTTAGGAACTCTGGAGGTGCTCTAGAATAGTTAGCTAACTGGGGACGGGATAACGGACTAGAGAGAGCTGTTTCCCCCGGCCTCGTTAGTTAACTGGGGGGTGGAATAATGGACAAGATAGAGCTATTTCCCCCACCCCCCGTTACAAGGAGACCAAAGAGTCAGTACACAACGAAGGAAACCACCTTCCTGTGACGATTGGAGAAAGGGACCTGGAAGTGGACATAATCTAACTCCTGAGGCACATATATACCGGGTAACGACAACAGTGAACTCCACACTAGCAAAATTTAGAACGTCATTCAGAAACCTAAGTAAGGAGACATTCAGAACGCTTTACACTGCCTACGTGAGACCGGTCTTAGAGTATGCGGCACCACCATGGAGTCCCTCACCTAAAGAAACATATTAGGGAACTGGAAAAAGTTAAAAAGCGAGGAGGGTAGTCCCGGAGTTGCATGGGATGGGATGTGAAGAACGACTGAAGGAACTGAATCCGACGACGTTAGAAAAGAGGAGGGAGCTGGGAGACATAATAGCAGCATACAAAATACCTAGGGGGATTGACAGAGAGGAAATATACGAAATGTTTACACGGAATACCAACAAGGGGACATAGGTGGAAGCTGGAGACTCGGATGAATCATAGAGATGTTAAAAAGTTTTCTTTTAGCTTGAGAAAAGTTGGAAAATTGAATGAACTAAAGGATCACATTATGGAAGCAAACACTATTCATAGCTTTAAAGATAGGTATGATAGAGAAGTAGGAGAGGAGTCATTGCTTTAAACAACCGAAGGCTAGAAAGGCGGGATCTAAGAGTCAACACGCGATCCTGCAGGCGTAAATAGGAGAGTACACAAGCGCGCGAGCGCACTCCCCCCCCCCATCCCCCCCACACAGCCCTCACTCTCACTACTCAATGATTGTTCTTACATACAACTATTGGGCCGTGTGAAGCCCTTCTGCATTTTTTGATGTACATTAGCACTCACAAGTGTATTACCGAGGCCTATCATTACTGACATCATGTTATCTCTTATGCACTTGACCTGACCTGACCTGACCTGATTGCTTGTTTGAGGTGTCAATTGTGCTCGTCCACAGCTAGAGTGGTAGTCGCCTCATCCAGAAATGATCCACTGTTATATTGTTCTGCTGTTCTACTGGTCTGCTGTTCTACTGGTCTGCTGTTTTACTGGTCTGCTGTTTTACTGGTCTTCTGTTCTACTGGTCTGCTATTCTACTCGTCTGCTATTCTACTCGTCTGCTGTTCTACTGGTCTGCTGTTCTACTCTTCTGCTGTTCTACTGTTCTACTCTGCTGTTCTACTGGTCTGCTGTTCTCTTCTGCTGTTCTATTGGTCTGCTGTTCTACTGGTCTGCTGTTCTACTGGTCTGCTGTTCTACTCTTCTGCTGTTCTATTGGTCTGCTGTTCTACTGATCTGCTGTTCTACTGGTCTGCTGTTCTACTGGTCTGCTGTTCTACTGATCTGCTGTTCTACTGATCTGCTGTTCTACTGATCTGCTGTTCTATTGGTCTGCTGTTCTACTGGTCTGCTGTTCTACTGGTCTGCTGTTCTACTGGTCTGCTGTTCTACTGATCTGCTGTTTTACTTTTCTACTGGTCTGCTGTTCTACTGGTCTGCTGTTCTACTGGTCTGCTGTTCTACTGGTCTGCTGTTCTACTGGTATGTTGTTCTACTGGTCTGCTGTTCTACTGGTCGGCTGTTCTACTGGTATGTTGTTCTACTGGTCTGCTGTTCTACTGGTATGTTGTTCTACTGGTCTGCTGTTCTACTGGTATGTTGTTCTACTGGTCTGCTGTTCTACTGGTATGTTGTTCTACTGGTCTGCTGTTCTACTGGTCTGCTGTTCTACTAGTCTGCTGTTCTACTGGTCTGCTGTTCTACTGGTCTGTTGTTCTACTAGTCTGCTGTTCTACTGGTCTGCTGTTCTACTCTTCTGCTGTTCTACTGGTCTACTGTTCTACTGGTCTGTTGTTCTACTGGTCTGCTGTTCTACTGGTCTGTTGTTCTACTGGTCTGCTGTTCTACTGGTCTGCTGTTCTACTAGTCTGCTGTTCTACTGGTCTGCTGTTCAACTCTTCTGCTGTTCTACTGGTCTACTGTTCTACTGGTTTGTTGTTCTACTGGTCTGCTGTTCTACTGGTCTGTTGTTCTACTGGTCTGTTGTTCTACTGGTCTGCTGTTCTACTGGTCTGCTGTTCTACTGGTCTGCTGTTCTACTGGTCTGCTGTTCTACTGGTCTGCTGGTCTGCTGTTCTACTGGTCTGCTGTTCTACTAGTCTGCTGTTCTACTGGTCTGCTGTTCTCTTCAGCTGTTCTACTGGTCTGCTGAGTACTGCTTTCTTGTAACACGGCCACGACTTGGTTAGGATGAGTCCCACCTTGGTAACGGTCAGTCACAACATAAGTGTCAGACACAACATAAGGGTCAGTCACAACATAAGGGTCAGACACAACATAAGGGTCAGACACAACATAAGGGTCAGACACAACATAAGTGTCAGGTCAGACACAACATAAGGGTCAGACACAACATAAGTGTCAGACACAACATAAGTGTCAGACACAACATAAGGGTCAGTCACAACATAAGGGTCACACAACATAAGGGTCAGTCACAACATAAGGGTCAGTCACAACATAAGGGTCAGACACAACATAAGGGTCAGTCACAACATAAGGGTCAGACACAACATAAGGGTCAGTCACAACATAAGTGTCAGTCACAACATAAGTGTCAGTCACAACATAAGGGTCAGTCACAACATAAGGGTCAGGGTCAGACACAACATAAGGGTCAGACACAACATAAGGTCAGTCACAACATAAGGGTCAGGGTCAGACACAACATAGGGCCAGGGTCAGTCACAACATAAGGGTCAAGTCAGACACAACATAAGGGGGTCAGACACAACATAAGGGTCAGACACAACATAAGGGTCAGACACAACATAAGGGTCAGACACAACATAAGGGTCAGACACAACATAAGGGTCAGACACAACATAAGGGTCAGTCACAACATAAGGGTCATAAGGGACACAACATAAGGGTCAGTCAGACACAACATAAGGGTCAGACACAACATAAGGGTCAGTGGTCAGTCACAACATAAGTGTCAGACACAACATAAGGGTCAGTCACAACATAAGGGTCAGACACAACATAAGGGTCAGACACAACATAAGGGTCAGACACAACATAAGGGTCAGACACAACATAAGGGTCAGTCACAAATAAGGGTCACACAACATAAGGGTCAGACACAACAGGGTCAGACACAACATAAGGGTCAGACACAACATAAGGGTCAGACACAACATAAGGGTCAGACACAACATAAGGGTCAGACACAACATAAGGGTCAGACACAACATAAGGGTCAGACACAACATAAGGGTCAGACACAACATAAGGGTCAGACACAACATAAGGGTCAGACACAACACAAGGGTCAGACACAACATAAGGGTCAGACACAACATAAGGGTCAGACACAACATAAGGGTCAGACACAACATAAGGGTCAGACACAACATAAGGGTCAGACACAACATAAGGGTCAGACACAACATAAGGGTCAGACACAACATAAGGGTCAGACACAACATAAGGGTCAGACACAACATAAGGGTCAGACACAACATAAGGGTCAGACACAAAGGGTCAGACACAACATAAGGGTCAGACACAACATAAGGGTCAGACACAACATAAGGGTCAACAACATAAGGGTCACAACATAAGGGTCAGACACAACAGGGTCAGACACAACATAAGGGTCAGACACAACATAAGGGTCAGACACAACATAAGGGTCAGTCACAACATAAGGGTCAGACACAACATAAGGGTCAGTCACAACATAAGGGTCAGTCACAACATAAGGGTCAGACACAACATAAGGGTCAGACACAACACAAGGGTCAGACACAACACAAGGGTCAGACACAACATAAGGGTCAGACACAACATAAGGGTCAGACACAACATAAGGGTCAGACACAACACAAGGGTCAGACACAACATAAGGGTCAGTCACAACACAAGGGTCAGACACAACACAAGGGTCAGACACAACACAAGGGTCAGACACAACATAAGGGTCAGACACAACACAAGGGTCAGACACAACACAAGGGTCAGACACAACATAAGGGTCAGACACAACATAAGGGTCAGACACAACACAAGGGTCAGACACAACACAAGGGTCAGACACAACATAAGGGTCCATACAGACCGAAACATTCCACCTTCATCTTATATATGTGTAGACTGGGTTATTGACAGCTTCTCTCCACGTGTAATTCCACTCACAAAGCTGATAGACGTTTTAAGTTAGTTTAATGATGACTATTTATAATGAATATGAATATATTAACGAGAAAGGTGTAAATAACAATGAAGTGTTGTGTCCTGCCTGCTTCCCGAGTTTAGTAAGATCTGCCGCTTTGTGAATGAGAAAAATAAATGCTATTTTGGCTTGATTATATTTATGCTGGTAAGTTATGTAAGTTTGGAAAAAATAACATGGAATATATTAGAATTTTGCATATTTTTTTGGTGTATCAGGTATATTATAATTAATGTTGGTAATTCAGGTATTAAAGCACGCAGACTAATGGTGTATATTTGGATTTTTTAAATAAACATTCTTTATGAAACGTTAGGTATGTAACATGTAAAAGTATGCAAAATATGTAAAAGTATGCAAAATATGTAAAAGTATGCAAAATATGTAAATATACAAAAAGATAAAAAAATATAACATGAAAAATACACAAAATATTTAACGTACATGCAATATGCGAAATACACACACAATATGTGACACACACATTATGTGAAATACACACAATATGGGGTACATATATATACAATATGGGCAATGCACGCAGTATGAAAAATTCACGAAATATGCAAAATTTCTAACATGCAAAAATCTGCACAAATATGCAAAATACATAAATTATGCAAAATCCTCAAAATCTGCCCAAGTTGGCGAAATCCTTGAGGGCGTCCGCCGCCGCCGACACGAGTATGAAACTTTCTAAAGAGAACTTGTTCCGTTATATTTTACAACTGGAAGAAAACTCTTCAAAAGTTTTTAGAAGAAGAAAAAAGTATTGATGTTGCGATCATCCCGCGCTGGTCTGGCGCTGCACATGGGCGCCTTTACCAGTGAAATCGCGTCTACGCCCGGCTGAGTTTGAATGATATTTTACGAGGAAAGTTGAAAGCTGCCAGCCAGCCCCGACCACTAAAAGATGGACGCCAAGACTTTGGGACTCTCAGTGTGCGAGGTATTGGGAGGTGGCCTGCCTGCCAGCCTGCCAGTGTGGAGTCAGGACTGGGTACTGGAAGGTGGGCTGCCAGCCTGCCAGTGTGGAGTCAGGACTGGGTACTGGAAGGTGGGCTGCCAGCCTGCCAGTGTGGAGTCAGGACTGGGTACTGGAAGGTGGGCTGCCAGCCTGCCAGTGTGGAGTCAGGACTGGGTACTGGAAGGTGGGCTGCCAGCCTGCCAGTGTGGAGTCAGGACTGGGTACTGGAAGGTGGGCTGCCAGCCTGCCAGTGTGGAGTCAGGACTGGGTACTGGAAGGTGGGCTGCCAGCCTGCCAGTGTGGAGAGTCAGGACTGGGATGCCCCGCGTATTTCCCCTTGCAACACAGCCAAAGAGAGCCCCTTAAACACTCGCGCCTAAACTCAGTTCCCCGAAAGTAGTGGAGTGGAGATTCTCATGACACTCGCATCACAACCTTCTAGTCCTCACTCCCTCCTGTAGGCTCTTCAGTCTTCAGAGCAGTCGTAGACTGTAGTCGAGCACCAACACACGCTATTCTGGGGCACCTGTTCCTCCACCCAGTGACTACCCTTGTCAACTACACTTCAAGAGAAATGGGGCCTTTAATATAACCCCTGTAAACTAGGAGAGGCTGTATATTTGTTATATATATATATATATATATATATATAACAGTTCTTATATGGTCAGAATACTTCTCTTCAGGTCTGGCCGCTCCAGTCCAGCCTATACCTGGATATATTGTAATTGTATAAACCTGTTATCTAGGTATGACTGAAAGAGATAAGGATAGGATGACGCGCTGTCAAATTAACACAATGTATTACACGTTTATTGGAAGTTTAAACATGGCGGTGTAGCGCCAGTAACCCTGGTCCTTAGTTTGTTGTGACGTGAACATAACCAACAGTTACAAACAGGTTCTCACCAGAACATAACCAACAGTTACAAACAGGTTCTCACCAGAACTTAACCAACAGTTACAAACAGGTTCTCACCAGAACATAACCAACAGTTACAAACAGGTTCTCACCAGAACATAAACTTTCAAAGATCCACTTACAACTAACAAAGTCGTCACCTATAGGACTAAGAATAATTGTTCAAACATAAAAGTTTCCTGGAGTCAGTATTTAATGGAGTAAACCACTCCCCCCCCTCACAGTATTCCTCTAACATTAGAGAAGGCAGTTAACACTTCAACACTCCTCGCTATGCTCACGGATCTGGTTTACATTTGCTCCCAGGCAAAATCTATTACTATGGTGCTCTGTGATCCTGTCCCACATCACTTTATTATTCTCTACACACTCATGAATCTCACAATTAACTTTGGCAAACTAATAAACCATTTCAGACCTTGAGACGCCTATCCTTCACTCCCTCATTCTCTCTTAAATAAATGTACATTCACATAAACCATAATTTGCTTTTAATTTCACGTTAATCTGTGTTCTCATATGCAAATTACCATAAATAAGAAATAAAAAATGCATAACTTTGTCATATGCAAATTAAACAATGTCTACAGCCTCTTGAATAAGCTGTATACACATAAACTGACTCTTAACAGCACCCTAGCTGCCGTACCAGTAACTGTGTTCTCCATGTCGGAGTAAGTCGTCAGTTCTGGGCGGTGGGTCTCGACTTAGTCTTCTGAAACCAGCCTATTGTCCGGTGTAGCACGCTCACTTTAAGACTGATTCAGTGCTAGACTCGATAAAATCAATAGCTGCCTCCACCACAATGTGTAAATCGGTTCAGTGTCGGTCCTGCACATACCTAAGGTAGACAGGATTTGAGATAAATTGCATATTAAAAACATTTACTATAATATCTACAAGGGGGGAAAGTACGATAAATATAAATAGCGTCACAAAAATGAACAAGACATGGATATAGGTTTCCATAACTCCTTCACCTGAGTAGATTAAGTATCATTAACATTTCAAATAATAAAAGTGACGTGACTGACTGGGCAAAGTCATTGCAACAATTTTTGTGTAAAGCTGTTAGGGAAATAAATATTACTGAATTTTAAATTATAAAAAGTAGCGAATTAGATAATATTAAGTCTTGGATTGTATAAATTAGATAACTTTATAATTGGTAAGGTTTTTGATAGGTCTAAAATGACATAAAGAATAGTTAAATATGCAATTGGTTTCTTCCAAGAGTTAAGGGCGTGCCTATTCCCAATCATTTGTCACCTTCATTAGTCGTTATTATGTTTGTTTCCTAATTCAAATTCAAATGTTTAAATCCGGATAAAAATACATACATAGAAGATGAGTTACAAATATAATGTTGGATTTATAAATAGAGCTAGTACATACAATACCTAAAGCCACTAATACGCATAGCGTTTCTGGCAAATCTACTCAGTTCAGGCTAATCTACTCAGCTGTAGGAGATATATATAATCCTCAACCCATGTCTTTTCTATCTTCTGTATTCCTTGAAAATGTGTTGAAACACGAAAGCGCTCGAAATTTTGGTTTCATTTTCCTATGTTAATATGTATGTATATCTGAATCACGTGTTTTGTGATTATTGTTGCACTTTAATAGACGTGTATTCCTCTTGGCACAACAGGCTTCACGGTGACACTATAGTCTCTTTCTTCACCGCTGTACTCACGCACTGGTCCAATATATACAACTACAATCCTTTGGTGACCGGATGAAGAGAGAGAGAGACTGCTCATTGCACAGTAAATGTGGTCCCATTAAAGCTAGTGTTACCGTCACTAATTAAACGTTTCTGCAGGTAAACTTGGATACGACCATCACTGTAGGCTTCAAGTTTTACACAAAATAGTTTATTAAATTCTAACTAAAGGTTGTCTTGGTCTATCTGTTTATAAAGTGAGAGTATAACTCTTGAAGCAGGAGAAGGAGTAAGGCGAGTGTCCATAACAGTGGGTACTGGGCCCACAATATGTCCTCATGGAGGAGGGACCCTCACGGTAATCACTTCAAAACCACTCTGTAATTAGTGCTGTTATCTACTCTCTATCCATAGTATGCTTAGGTTAAGGTTAAGGTTAGGTTTCGTTACATTTGGTTATGTTAATACGGTGTATTATTTTCAAACATGAAATATGAATTCAAACACTGAGTATCCCCTTGAATTTAATTTACAGAAAACCAAATTCTTTAAACCGTGGCAGTTTATAAGTAGACTATTATTGGAAATGTAACATGCTAGCAGACCACAAATATCTAGATAACTAATCCAGGTGCTTTGAGGAGGGTGGGGGGGGGGGGGGGGGTTGAGAGGGAGGGGGTTGGTGTCTCCTTCTGATCACGTCATCCTAACAACGGGCTCCAGCAAGACTATTATACTATTATATATGTTGACCAACCCACACACTAAAATATAAAAAGACGACGATGTTTCGGTCCGTCCTGGACCATTATAAGTTGAATAATCCCCTTTATTACCCCTATCTTTCGCCTTGCTTTTACCTTTCTCCAAGATTACCTCCTCCTTACCTCACTTATGCCCGTGCCTTTCTCGTCTCTTCACAATGGACTTGATAATGTTCCAGGACTGACCGAAACGTCGTGGCCTCCTCATCTTTTAGTGTGTGGGTTTGGTCAACATTCTTCAGCCACATTATTGTGACTCATCTGCAAGACCATACATGTTAGTACTTACATAACCGTGCTTGTAAAATAATATTGGCGTTTAAAATGTAGTAGGTATGATAAAAGTGGCCGTCACTCACCATCTTTGTTAAGCATTTGTTTGTCAAGTGAATTAACGCCTAATGCAGTGATTAGCTCTGACGTAACATGTCCGGTGCACATGCGCCATTGTTTGAAAGCCGAGTGTAGTCAGGGCAGCCTTGGTGTCAAGACCAGAATTAGGATCTGGGAATTAACTTATGCTTTAACCACCAATAAAAGGCTTGTAATGGCATGCCA